CCTTTTAACGATCTCGCAAAATAGGTAAACGCACCGGACCTCGTGCTCTAAATCACAATTAAATTCTATTCAGCGACTATTCGGTTATGGTTATGTTCGCCACAACACATGTCGGCCGCGGTTTCGGACTTGCTGGAGCCGCTGCTGTTCTCGTGGATATCAAATAATCAACCCTAACTTGAAATTCCCTTTTATACTAATTACAGGTTTATATTATTCACTTTTCATTACTATCACACTCCTTCAAGATTTATAGCAAACCAAACACAACTCATTTAACACTTTACTCGAATAATGTGTCATTGCTTTTAATATGAGTTCATTTTTCTTTTACTTCTGAGATGTCGCTACTTATCTAACGTCAAAATAAAAAAAATAAATCTACGAGAAACTTTTCAAAAATTTAGAGGCACAAACTTAATTAGTCTAAAAATTTTATGGACAGTTTTAAGTTGATATGATATTAATCACTGAACTTCGATCTCAAGCAACCTCAGATTAACTAGTCCAAAGATCCACATAGTCAGCCGATACTGCTTGTGGTGTAATCGCTACAATATGATGACAGGCTTCTTTACTCAAAAGATTTACAACATCACTATATAAAGCCGAGGCCACTTGCGGCCGAGACATTACAATATGGTGACTAGTCTTAGGTTGATATCAGAAGAAACTGAGCTTTTGATTGAGAAAATTGCCATTTCAAGAATTTATCAGAGAGTTTCATTCCTAACAAAGCTTACTTCGCCTGTTTTTACGGACATACATGAGAATAACTTGTGTTTGAAGTTTTATGTATTAATTAGTTTTTACGTCTCGAGTCATAACCCGAATAATAAGATTGAAAATCTATTTTGATTACAGTGTATTTATTGCACAATTAAATATTACAAATGTTTTGGTAACATCCCCCGATGACTTTAAATTGTATGGAAAATCTTTGGCACGTGTCCGGACGACGTTTCGTAGAAGAACGATGTAAATCTCGTGTGTGGCGTGTTAACAAGCTTTTAGGGGTTTAAACCGCCCCTAATAAGGCGTGTACCAAAAATGTCTAAGCATGTGGTTCTTATCTGCGTTCCGCGTAACCCCTTCCTTATCAGTTGTGTTTAACTACGATCGATTTGCATTTATATAGAGTATTTTAAGGGATGCATTTAAAAGTGGAACGACGTGGTGTTAGTTCTAGCTGGCGTATCGATAATCGAAACGTGTCCGGATTAGTTCGCTCCGTTTTATGGGCATCAGGTGTTATTTTTCTAAGGGTTTAATCACTCCATCCGGGCCTACGAAAAAGGGCAAGCACGCCCTCGTTTCCCATATCATAACAAGGTATTATTCGGGATTAGCGCAACGCCCTGTATATTTGAACATAATAAGCACCAAACGTTAATATTTACGACATAAATCTTGCCTGTTAATGCAGCAAATGGGACTTTTTTTTAAAGATTTATCTTCCAACGAAGTTTTTACAATTACATTTTTATTTGTTTATCTCCACCATCATATCTTTTATTTCCCAATTTGTGTTTCTATAAACTATATCCTAGTTACGATAATTACTTTAAAGAAGGTGTAGTTTGAAAACATAAAACACTTCACACATTGTTTAAAGATTTCACACAATTTTAACAATGTAATTCCCAAGATAATAGTGTAATACATAGTTTGTTCTGTGCGGTGATTCCACTGTGAAAAGGGGTGAATATTGAATGTTGAAACGTTGAAACGACATTCACACGCGGCGTAACTATTAAATTAAATTTCTTTTCCGCACGAAAAGAACGGCCCGAATTCCTGAAATTCGAATTATCTACTTTACATTCATTTTAAATTTAGCGCGCCCCTGGAAAGTTTGAACGTTTTTAATATTTAATTCTAGTTGATTTACGATGTTAGTCGGGACCAGCATGAACCAAACTCGCCGTGCGGCAAACGTGCATTGGCGTCGGCGTCGCGGTGGTAAGCGTCCGGAACTCTTTGCTAATGTTGAAACGATTGGCCGGAGCACGTCATGAATTCCCTACAAGGAAACGACTTTTTCATTTTATACAGCGGGCGTCCACCGACCGTTATACAAGAGGGGAAACGATGCCAACTTACAAGTTTTGTGGCGATTTTCATTTTACGGACTTTACAAGGACTTTAAGAGTTTAGTTTTACAATACTTGGATTTTTTTCAATTCTTCCTACCTTAATACCATCTGTATCAAAAAGATCGTATTAACGGTGGTTTTTAGAGATCCCATCGCCATCTATGAAGGGGAAACTGAACTGTGATAGTAACGGAAGTTACTTTTTTTATGACTGAAAATAAATAGAAAATAATTACATTATTAAATATTTCTAATAATTATTAAATTATTGGAGTTAATTACATAAATTTTTTGATGTTTTTGCATAATCAATAAATGGTGCATCGTGCTTCAATCAACAGATGGCGGAGTACATTGGTGCCATTTTAAAAAGTGTCATTTTAACGAACTCTCAGTTCTGTGGGATAAATATGTCCACAATCGTTGTAGAAATTAAAAAAGAGAGACCAGCAATGATGTTCATTGATGTTGGAGAATATGTGGAGGACAATATAAAGGTATGTCAGAAACAATATTGAAATAATAATCATTTATAACAGAAGAAGAAAGAAAAAACTCGCCAAAAAGTCAAAATTTACGCCAAAATAATGGGTGCGGCAAAATGATAGGTACTATTTGGGATATCAATAACAACCAAACCACATAAAGCAATCTTTTCTTTTTATTACTATTCAAATCTACATTTCATGCCATTTAGGAAAGTTATTTTTTAAAAATGATATCTTTTAAATGACGGCCATTATTGTCGATGCACTCTTGTAGGTTTTCACGGAAGCGCGTCATTACCCGATGGTTCATTTCTTGGGGAATTGCGGCAATTTGTTGTCTTATGGCTGCCTTTAATTCTTCCAAAGTCCGGACGATGAGTAAAAACTCTCGATTTGAGGTAACCCCAAAGAAAAAAGTCGCAAGGCGACAAATCAGGCGAACGCGGCGGCCAGCCGACATCACCTCGTAAAGACACCACTTTGTTTGGGAACATTTCTTGAAGAAGATTAAGTGAACGACGTGTGGTGTGCGATGTAGCACCATCCTGCTGGAACCAAAGGTTTTCTCGTTGATTATCGTTCAAGTCGTTAAGTTTTGGACGTAGGAAATTGTTAAGCATATCTAAATATCGGTCGCCGTTGACTGTTACCGTTATTCAATCTTCCTCAAAAAAGTAAGGACCCCACACGCCCAACTCAGATATTGCACACCAGACGGTAACCTTTGGACTGTGAAGTGGTCGCTCATGAAGTTCCTGTGGGTTATTTACCGACCAATAACGAAAATTTTGCTTATTTACGGTACCCGATAGGTGAAAGTGAGCTTCATCGCTAGACATGAATACAGAGCATCGGGGAATGTTTTAAAGAATATCTCGGCATGAATTTGTACGGGTTTCAAAATCTCTTTCATTTAATTCCTGCACTACCATCATTTTGTACGGATGCATTTGGAGTGACTTGTGTAAAATTCGTCGAACACTTCTATCGGAAATTCCCAAAGCAGCTGCATGCTTACGAGCTGAACGCCTTGGAGACTGTTGTACGGAAACGCTTACTGCATTCACATTTTCCGGTGTTGTTACTGTCCTTGGTCGGCCAGTAGATTTTCGTTTAAGCGCAGAACTTGTATCCCTGAAGTGTAAAACCCACCGACGAATTGTTCTTCCATCCGGAACCGCGCCATGTCGACCAACATCAAACTGATTACGGAAGGCACGCTGCGTCGCTATTACAGATTCCCTATTTCTAATATACTCCTCGACAACGAACGCACGATGCACTCCGCTCCAAGCCATGTCATTAACTGACAACTGCATACTTTTGTCTACCTAACGCGACCGCGTGCACAGTGTTGCCGGTTTTACAAACCGAGCAACCACTATTTGAAATCCTGCCTATCTTTTTGCCGCACCCTGTATTTTATAATGCATACAGAACAAAGTTGTCACTTATTGAAATTGTGTACTTTTCATTTTTATTGCTAATACTATGGAGAGAGCCAAACAATATCGAAACTGAGTTCTTTCTAAGCAAAAAATTTGTCAAGAGTGAAGAAACCACTGTTTTGCGATATCATCAACGACATCTTTAATGTTATAAACACAACTTGACCGAAATAAATGGAGTTTGTTTATAATCGCGGCTAAACCTAAAAACGGTATAGGTAAGCCACGTTTTGCGTTAGGCGATAAAGTTTGCCAAAGAGTACATTTTAATAGGAAGTCAATTTTGCACATCCGAAAGCTCCAATAACTCCAATGTTCGGTTGGCTTTAGTTCGATGATCTTAACTTGATTAAGCCGAGGCTCAGTGATTAATATCATATATATCGATATAGAAAAAGGCTTACAACACGATGTCCATAAGAAAGGTATTTGAGACCCTGACAAATACTGCGTATTTGGAAAGGACTGGGTTGGTGTCAACCGTATTTAAGATATACATCCAAGAAGTGCTGAAAGCATGGAGAAGACTAGTCTCGAAAATGGGTATAGAGATGGAGGATCAAAGCCTGCTGATGCTGATGACCAAGTTGTTGTAGCACATGAAGAGTATGATATTGGTTGTATGTTTAGGAAACTCAAGCAAAGAATATAGATATTTCTCAACATATGGGTTGGGTTGAGTTGACTAAAAAAATCTCTTGGGTTTATAGTTCAACATAAAAGAAGGAGAGGATTGACATCATTATAAATAATATATAGTAAATGTAAAATGATTTATATTTAAGTTACTGTATTCTGTAAAACCGATATAATTGTTTAGATAAATTTGGATAATGATTGATAGATGGCGTGTAGTTATAATATCAATTACGGTGTTGTTTGAGTTAAATACCATTCAGGCGTGGGATATATTCGATTTGGTCTGGCGGTAAAACGGTTCAGTTCAAAGTGAACCGAAGTATCGTGTCGAACGTGGGAACGAATAGAGTAGGTCGAAGCGTCTCGGTCGTGATGAACGAACGGTGTGCGGTTGAGTTTAACAATTATTTTGTTAGAATTGTCGTGGGATACAATTTAATAAATATTGTTTTATAAAAAAATAAACGATATCAAATATAGTTTAACGAATCGGGTTTAATAGAAACGAGTTGGAGTTTAGAATTAGTTTTATTTTTTTTAAGGGGGAGTATTAAGGTTTAGTAATTGAGCGACGGCGCTTTACTAGAGATGATTCACGGGGGCAATTGACGGCGCTCGACGGCGTTTAGTACGCGTCGGATTGCCGATGCCATGTGCGGGGGTTGTGGCGTCGACGACGGCATCGCGACGGTGGCATCGCGACGCACCCCAGTGCCGTCGTGTCCTCGTTCGCGCCGGTAAAGCGCACTCTCGACGCCCTCCCCTTGATCCTCGTTATATTTCGAATTCGGTCCGCGGTTTTGATAGTGAATAGCGCACCGACTAACGGAGAAACTGTCAACTCGCAAAAAAAATAAACGCAAAAAAGAGAGAGTTTAAAAAGACGTGAAGAGAAGCGAGAAGAAGAAAAAGTAAAGAGACGTGCGTCTAAATCACCACTTAGTTTTACTCAGTTCGCGGAGAATAATGGGACGATTATTAATGTATGTGAAAATTTTACGTGTTATTTTCTTTGTTGATATATGACGGTACGATAGATGTTTAAATTTGAAAGTGCGATGACAGATAGTCCGGAAAAGGAGGAAAAGCTTCACGCAATTGGCGTGTCGAGCGAACCGGACGGTGACGGTGACGTGCGGTCGAAAGACGACGCGTGCAGGACGCTAACGTGGCACGAGCACGTGTACAAGAAGTTGACAAACAAGCCAACCCCTCATTATATAGAAAATATACTCGGTCTTCAATCGAAAACAACGTGTCAGGGTGAAGATAACTGCAGGAAAACCGTATCATTGACTGAAACGCCGCAGGACGATTCGACTGAGCCGAAGGAAGAAGTAAATGAGCCACTTAATTTATCAATAAAAACAGATGCACCCGCTACTAAAAGAACAAAAAGTTGTAATAAAGGTAAGAAAGACGCGACCGGAAGAAGATCTATCGCAGTTCCTTTGTCATTGGTACCGTAATCTTTTTTTTAACATAAACACACGTGTATTGCAACCGCAAAAACCTCGTCCTGTTTTTTTCCAGCCAATTCTATCTTATTTGTTTCAACAATTAATTGTAACGTTCCGTCTCGCTTTTGAAAAAAACAATAAAAGCGATAATTTTTTGATATTCGATTTCAAAAATCTAATCTGAACGAAGGAAACGGATTCTACCACTGGAATTGGTATAATAATAATACATAAATATGCATGTTATTTCATTCAGTATTTTAGCGAATTAAATTGAAATTCATTTTACCACAACAGTAACAACAACAGGTGGTTTATGTACGCATAATATCGGCGGGTTTAGGGTTAGTTCTCTATTAAAAAATACGTCCGCCTCGTTGCAAAAATTCCACACATTGTTGTAATTAATTCAACAGGGACGTATTCACACGATTTTAATCCCCGCTCTCTACAAAACTCGACTACATGTTTTTGTATTCAATTGTATCTCCGCAATTCTATTTTATTATCGGTATGTAACGGATTAATATTGATCAAATTCTTTTTTCTTCGAAATAAATTTCGTTTATTAATTTAAAATAAATTTATGATTTGAATAAATTAATAAATTTGACTTTACTTAATTTTATTGCAATTCAATTAAAAATAAAACTCAATACATCCCTGATGGGTACTAAAATTTAATATTTAAATAATCGTTGAACAAATACTCTGCGGCGGAAAGGATGGCTAAATGCCGAACAAAAATGTTTTATCATCGCATTTTAATTTGTGTTTAATTAATATTCATCAAAGTAAACATTTTTTAACTTTTGTTTCGACTACTATCTAGTTCCGGAATTTAATGTATTAAATTGTACGTACATAAATTAAACTTTTTTTTATTTATTTTTGATTTATTCCTTTTTAATTATATTCTTTTTTATTTTTTCTTTTTGTTCTAGATGTTACTAGGAAAAGAAAAAAAGCAAGAGATTTGGAGTGCAAAACTCCCGTTTCTTGTATCACACCAGACAGTATTGCTGAAGATGCGGACGTAAAGTGTAAAAAGAAAAAAGCGAGAACTACGTTTACTGGCCGACAAATTTTCGAACTTGAAAAACAATTCGAATTAAAGAAATATCTTAGTAGCAGTGAACGGTCGGAGATGGCAAAATTATTGAATGTCACAGAAACTCAGGTAACACAAATTATTAATATAATTAACACTCCGAATTGCGGCAGTCCAATGAACAGAGACTTCCATGAATATATGTGATTTCTCGGTAAATAAACGCTCGCAGTTCTCGGAAATAATATAATCCGATTAAATGAATGTGGCGCTGACCATAATAAAACGTCTTAATTTGATAATGATAGAATACTTAATGTATTCATTTACACCTATTTTTATATTTTTTGTTTATAAATCGTTTATGTAACTTCCGCTGGTTTAATTCGATTGTCGTGAACTCAATTATTATTCCATTAGCGCACTTCTGGTAATCAGTAAGAATCAGGGACGAGCTTTCAACATTTTGCTCCTTTAATATTTATGTCCGGATATCGATTTTAAATTAGTCTTATTGCGAGCACGAATTCCGTCCGATGCGCGGTAAACGTCTCCCCGTATTTGCATGAATAAATGACGGCAACAACCTATGCATTTAATATTTAGATTCGTTCCTAAAATACTTGACATTGTTATATTTCCGACCCCTACCTCAATTACATCAAATAAAAATCCTTGAGATCATTTACATTCCAACATCAATCGATGTTGTTGTATCTTTTTATCGCGCCGCGAAATTCAACGATGCGAAAATAAAAAAGAATGAATTACACGGCGTAGCATTACAGCGAAACAATTTTCTCGGAATTTCTGTGTCACATACTCATTGAGGATGAGGTCTACGCACTTGTTATACTACACTTCGACACATGAGCCGTTCGTCGAACGTGTCTATCAAACGAATAGCAACGATTTGCTTATTCATTAAAGACCCTCCGTTAAAATAAACCTTCATAAATAGGTTTTGAATATCTCCAACTTGCTTTGTTACAACCCCCCTTTTCATCATGACTCATTAAAAAGATTTTGATCAATCTCAAATCCATACAAATTCACACAAAGACAGGATTAAACTATATATATATATTTAATTTTTATCTTAAATTTTAATATAAATTAGAGGCACAATTATAAATAGCAATTAATTTTGAATTTAGCTGAGAGATGTCATTGAAATCCACTTGATACGAACTCCAAAGATACCGATCCATTCTGAGTTCCGGTTCGAAACCCCGGAATTAGCTCGAGATCCTACACTCACATGCTCTTTAGTTTCATGATGAAAGGCTCAATTTTTAAAATTATTTCTTCACTCTTTCTCTATATCTCCAATTAATATTAAAAAATGCCATTGCCAAGTTTGAATTGTGTGTACTCCTCGTGTTCCTTAAGTCATTCTACACATTTTAAGACCAAGCAGAACACTCGAATGTGGTATGGATCGGCATATCCTCTTCGTTACATCCATACCAGCCGCCACTTGCTTGCCTCTTCTTAATTTTCATTAGGTACTTTCCAAATGCTCCATGTTGATTGCATATTTTTATTTTTTTGTTCCCCGCAGGATTCCCAGTTTCAAGTCCTCTCCCACGCTAGCAAGAGATCCATCGGCTGTATCACCGTAACTATGAGTCTCCATTTCCTCTGGCTTGGCCCAGCTATCTTTGGTCTTAACTGCTTTATCGTTTGTCATCTTTAGGTGACAACCCACATCAATTAACCCAACGATAGTGTTTTTAGTTGTTTGTTCTTCATAAAGATCCTTTCAACAACATGAAGTTTGATGTAATATTTGAAAAAATGTAATAATCAGGGTTTAAGTGTGAGTTGAGTTAAGCACAGGTGTGTTTAAAAACGTATGATTATAATTGATGTGGGTTGGATGGTCGTTAAAAAAAGCGGTAGGGTATTTTAAACGAGGCGTTAAGGCGGTTAAGGGATAGTATTTCTGTGAGAGATCAGATTAAAGATGCCGGTGGTGGAGAGAGGGGGAAATAAAACGAATACTAATGAGCGAAGTTGGTTCTTAACGGTTTAGATAGCACAATCAGTGTAAACGCGATGATGGGCGCTAAGAGCGATGCTCCGTTGATCCCGAACGTGGACGATGAGCGGTGAAAAGGGGGAAAGTTGATGAGTTACTGCACCAGCTGTCTTCCAGCATCCTCTCGTTTCATTGCCTGCGCCGGGACTCTTGTTTTTACTAATTGCCTGCCCGACTTACACGACTAAAATATTAAGTTGGGGGCCCCTTTTAACGCGACAAACGCCGGGGAACGTTTCCCCTTAATTAGAACCATTTTTAACGTCTAGGCTTTAGCGATTATTGTTCTGTAATGTTACACCGCGCCCGGACTATTTTCGTCCGGTTCTCTTTTTCTCTTGTCTGGCAGCAAGTATTCACGAGCTTGTCGCAGGAAGTAAATTAAAAGACGAAAACGGACGGGCCAAACAATTACGGCAATTACGTGTTAAATATAACGAAATGAGTTTTTATTCGGTATAATGGAGTTATTAAACCGACCCGACGCAAAAGCAAGGTAAAACAAGATGAAATCAAATAAAATGAATGATACTCGTTTAGTTAAATATCTTTCGTCGTGTTGTGAATCTTCATCATCTTCACGTAATTGGTTAGACGCGACGTTTCTTTCTTTGTCAGTTTAATGGGTTTTTGGCTTCTGTGTGGATCGAAATGCATCTAGCGATTTATTTATAGTGTGGAGTAAGTCGATGATACGGTCAAGGAAATATCATTTTACCGTTATAATTAGTCGTAAGCGCGCATTAGAGTCGCGAGGGCCTCCGGTTGACAGTTGGAACTCTATAAATAAAGATCACAGGGTCCAATAGCGCTCGCATGTGTTTCGTTTAATTTGTGAAAACATATTCGATGGAGGCACGGGGATATATTTAAACGGTCCATTAGAACAAAATTTAATAGGCTTCCGACACCGCCGACAATTCGTACAAATTAGCCCGGCCTGTTGACATTGTTAACTATCGACCGAAATAATAGCTATCCGAAATAACACGTGTTCAGAGTTTATTTAATGTATCGCGCTTTGAAAGCTCGACGCTCCATACTCTCGTCGTCCCTCCACCCTCCCAACCCAACCCAACCCACTCCAACATTTCATACTCCATCATCAAAAGTTGGAAACTTTACGCGGATTTCGCGTTATTATTATATTTCACATGATTACGACTGGTAATTGAACTAAAGCGCGTTATGCCGAGCTATAAAGTTAATGGGCGCAGTCCGTTAGGACGGGTACGTTCAGCTGTAATACTTGTTTAATTGGTACAGCGAAGTACCATTTACACCGTCCAGTCGCCGCCCTGCGGCGATAAATTTTATTGGCCACTTTTAAGGGTTTTCCTGTTTCCCTAGTTCGGCGAGAATCCTCCAGGGCCGGAACTTTTAAGCCCATTAAACGTCCTGAATTAATCATTCACCTGGCCAAACTGAATCTCGGCGTCTGTATTAAAAGAACGCCCATAGATTATCGATTACTAGAATTAACTCACTAAGCTTTTCAAACAGTACAGTCTTCATCAAAAATAAATTTTGGTGTAATTAACATGCATTTTTGACAACGAAAGGTAAGTTTTGATGTAGATATTTATGTGTGTGTAAAAGGGTGTGCCAATCAGTTATAAATGTCGTGGTATTATATAGGTAAAACGGAATGTAATTAACTGCAATTATAAATTAATAATACCTTTGTTGTTTTACGCTGACTAAATTAGCAAACATACGGGTTGTTATCGATTGCGGTGGATATTAGCGGGCGACGGCGCTATCCAATACTATCCTCGCCATTCGGCGGTCGTTGGCGAGGATTTTGATTTATAATAGAATCCGTTTTTGCTGTGACAAACTCGGCCAGATGCCGGGCACAAAGACCGGCTAATTAATTCGATAAAGACAACAATTGGAATCGGACGCAATATTTAATTACGATATAATGATCCTAATTGGTATGGCAAATTAAATCATAACGCAAACAGTCAGTAGCGCGCGGAAACGGCCGTCGCTTTATTATAATAGCTTGTAAAACGGTGTTTATGTTTTAATTAGCTAAACACAACGGATTGCAACGTTTAATGTTTGTCAATAAAACCTGATTGTTATTACTTTATTATCGCTACCCTTTATTGTCCATTCAATCGAAATATATTGCCTGTTCCCTTTCTGCTCCGCGTAACTCGAGCTTAACTCGACCAATTCGATTTCTTTTTAATACCGTTGGTGCGTTCTTTGGCCACGTTTAACTTATCAACTCAAACACATTTACGATCTAAGCTGTGGCGTAAATCGCAGTACCAACAGTACCAACACAACATTCGAATCGCCGTCACCATTGTTATTAGTTTATAACCCATTAATCAATCATTCAAAAAGAATGAAAAGAACTTATTTCTATTTTTTTATGACTTTTTTAATCGTTGTTACTTAAACAGTTAAAATAATATTTAATAATAATTTTCAACCGCCACATCCAATCGCGGCCATTTTGGTTCCACCTCTGGTTACACGGTTTGATATTAATAGCCATAAACTGGGACACGCATTATATGCAAATCAATTTATTGAAATATGCATGCGACAATCGGTACGCTGCTGCGGTACTTGCATTGTGTCAAAGTGGAGGTAATTACTCAGACAACAACCCCCTTTTGTATTGATATCGTCTACGTTACAGATATTACTGTTTCCATTATTTTCGCAATGCAATTTATCGGGAGAATACTTATCGAATTTTAAATATGCATTCAAACGGTACAATAAAATTTATGAAAGAGCGAATACAAACACTGTTAGGTATAAAGATAAAAAATAAGCTGGATTTTATTTCATTTTCTGCTAATAAATCACAACGATATTTAAATTTACGAAATTTATTATGATTGATATATTTGTCGGCGAAATATTAATACAAAGCAAAAATCGCCAAAATAAATGATTTACGTTGCATAATCCACCACTACTTAAAAACTGTAACCGATGGAGATACGCACAAAATATGTTTGTACTAAACCAAGAAAACATAATCCATAAGTATCGCCAAAATCTTCACTATGGATGGTTCAGTTTATATAATTTTCCACTACACAAAAGCTAC